TCTCTCTCTCTCTCTCTCTCTCTCTCTCTCACACACACACACACGCGCACACACACACACACACACACACACACACACACACACACACACACACACACACACACAGGTGAGACTGGCGCCACTGTGTGTGTCTCGACTCAGCTTTCTCATTCACGTCATGTGTTTGCCCTCCATTGGACTGGTTGATGTGTATTCACTGTGTTCTACCCTTGCTTCTCTATTTTTGTGTTTCAGGCAATAAATTTGAGGTGCAGGAAACTGTATCACCTGTCCCGAATGTGGTAACCCTGGAAGGGCGAAGTGCAGATGATATACAGCGGTGGAGGGAACTAGGTCTCAGAGCAATTGCATCAGGAGAACTTGCTGTGCTTCTTCTTGCGGGAGGACAAGTGAGTGAGATGATGGTTCTTATTCCTTGGAAAGTTTGGTTTAGCTTCAGCCCATAACATTTTGTGTTTTGTAAATACCATGCATCTCATTCCAGCACATCATTTGATGGTGTGGTTGCTGTAGAAGCCCATAACATTTATTGTTTCGAAATTACAATCAGGCTTCTGATCGCAATACACCTCTCTCTTCACCCAAACACAACGCACCCTGATACCCAATATATACAAGCTATCTTCCAGTCTGGTGGGCCAGAACGAGGGTGCATTGTGTTCAGGGCATAACCGTAGTCCTTTACATGGCTGCTATGGGTTGAAGCCCGTAATATGTGTTTGCTTTTTTTGGGTGGTTTCAACAAGTTCTTAGTTGGTTCTTATGTCTCTTTCGAGATTAATAAATAGACAACTCAATAAGTAAATATAATACAATCGATTATCTACCCAAAATGAAATGGAGTCCCGAAGACCTATGATGGTAATAAATATGGTTAACCAACTTAACCCGATGAAAATAAATATGAGACGGGTGGAGGATGAAGCAGGGGATGTACCAATATGTAGTAAGATGTGGCAGGTTGTAACCAGTTAAAAGGCTGCCTAGGAATAGAGGTTGGAGGGTGGAGTACCCACCTAGCTAAATATGGGAGTCCTAAGATGAAGATGAAAGAGGGGCCCCTGCCCCCCTGGGTGACCCTCTTAGACAGATGATAGTCTATCAGATCAGCAAAGAATGGAATCATGATAAAACAAACTGCAACAAGTTTAGCCTAGGGATCATTTACAGAAGTATTTGGATGGTAAAGCCAATGCTTGAAGAATAAAAGCAAGGAGGAAGAAACATTCAACTGAAAAAAGGACGGGATGGGTGTGCCTGAGCATAATCGATTTTATCTGAGAGCACGTGCAAATATGTTTGGCCATATTTTCTGCATTCAGTCTTGGCGATCTCTGCACCAGTGTCTCAACCTGAACACAATTGCGTTTTCAATTTGTTGGAAAATAGATCTACAGATTTGAGGGGGTGATGTTTTTTCTTCCAATTTCTTCCATATTTTTTGTGCAATCAAAGGCGCACTTTGATAAACAGAAGCTACTTTCGACGGCCTAATCCTTGTATGAGTTCCTGCTCGACTAGATAATAAGATTGCAGAAACGAAAAATACAACTGAAGACCACCTTTGCTCTAGCCAAGGTGCTGGTGGTGCTTGGGGGTCGGTCGTTGCTGCTCTGACGTACTTTCAGGTCTACGACTGGCTCAGATGACGCCAGCCGGCACTGAGGAGTGGTCGTCCTGCCCTGTAACCCAAGCAGGATCGGGGTTATGGGGCTTTGGGGAGAGCCTGAGGAAAAGTCAAAGGAAGGAAGGCATTCCACTGGGGTCTGGGCCATTAGCGGGACGTTGCCAAGACGATCGCCGGGTGGCTGAGGTGGGTCCCGTCGCCCTGTTACCCAGCTGCTGGGGGTGGGGGGCCTGGTTAGAGGCTTAGTAACGAGGCGGACAGACTGAGGACAGGTTAACGACTGGACTGCTGTGTGTCATACGCTAGTTGGCCTCTGGATTGGCGACTTTTAGTTACTCACAACGTTTGGAGTCCTCCGCATCCATCATATCCCAATTGTTCTGTATAAGTTTTCTGACATGTTTTCAAATGGGACTCTGGGCCCGGTTCCAGGTGGGCTCTCATTCATATATCAAAGCTTCCATGACTCTTCTTCCTCTTTGAACTCTCTCTCCTTCTCTTAGATGACGTTGTGACGAGCCTCCAGTTCGCCCACCATGAACGCGTATACTTCAACCAAGTTGTCATGATTCAACTCCCACCACGATTGATGAAGCATGAGTGCAGACGAGGTGTTCATAGGTGCCATGGAGGTAGGAGGGGCCACACGAGAAAATGAGTTTGATAAAAGAATGATTTGTTACCGATTGAAGCAGCAGTAAGGAGAAGAGAGTTGGATAGAGGTGGGAGAGCAACATTAGGTGGAGAAGAAAAGCTCGGTGGGGAGGGAAAGGAGATGATGACATCTGTAGGGACACTTCCGAGAGAAGTGACCGGGCATGTTATGCGTAACGCATAGTTGTGGAGTGTGACCATGTTGAGCAGGAGGCCTATAGAAACCAACAGTTGTGGATCAGTTGAAGAGAAAGTAGAGGAAAGTGGAAGAAACATTTATTATGAAAACCAATAAATATCGGTACACTATATAAGAAATAAAAATAGAAACACAGGATGGATATAAATAATTGAATAAATAAATAATTTAAAATAAACCACCAGCAAAAGCTTGAACCCAGGAAGATTCCTGACGTCTGTGACAACGATGATGATAGTAAGAATGATGCACAGTAAGAAACACGATCAGTGACAATAGAACCAATATCAATGGCAACAGAAGTAGCAATGAAGATGATAGCAATAATGAAAAGTAAATGTGAAGCCCCACATCTATATCTATCTGTCATACCTGCAAGTGCACGCTGTGCGGGCAATTCCGATCCGTGCGGCCCATGGCATGTTCGGTGCACGGAGGAAACAGCCACCGAATGAAATAAAGGTGGTCGCAGTGTCGGGAGGACCTGGGGAGGGAAACCTACTGTCCACTGAGGCCAAGGGCTACAGCATCTGTCACTCGCTGTGCCCACTTCCGAGGTCCTCAGCGACCAGCAGGATATCCGGGTTTGAGTTGCTTGTCACACACCTTCCCGAGATCTGAGCTCGCAGACCGCTTTTGAGGACAGAGATGAGAAGAGAAAAAAATAAACCAAATAAAATGAGCGGGTCTTGTTTGCAGAGATTCACAATGATCCAGATCTCCAGGAGTTACCTTTTGAGGTCATCATTGACTAACAGGACTATACATGAATTAAAAGAAGTGGGAAACGCAACGAGAATCAATTCAGAAGATACTCAAAACAGACAGAATACAACAGAGTACAAGTACTGCAGGGAAACAGGGTGTTCGTCTGGGGAGTTAATGTAGTCGAAAAGACGACCACATTTCGTTTGTGTTCGTTGCCCTCAACAAGCTCGAAAGTCTTACTGAACTTAACCAACTTGGTCATAGATGGACTTGCTCGCGCATGATTCTGCCGCCGTCTCTCAAAATTCAAGAAATCAGTTCTCTCCCTGCTTGCGAGCCCTTGTTACCGCTCCCACCACCGTAGTTCAGCAAGTCAATTCTTACTCTGAAACAAATGTGTCACATGTTTGCTTTCCCTTTCACGATAGCAATGTTGAGATCGAGTTTGAAGCTCGGGTGGGGCTCTCAAAACCTTCGTGCCTCGGTAACTGTATCTGTTCAATAGCTCGCGTCTCCCTCTCCGCGAGCACTGGGAGAGACCAGTTCAGATCAAACTTCGCGTCGACGAGTCGTACGGTCACATCCGTAGAGTGATCCTCCCCTCCCTTTCTTGCTCGCTCCTATAGGGCGGTCATAGGTGTGCCGGACCGACAGCACCTTTCCTGTGCCCAATGGTGTTCATGCCCAGGTACGTAGGATTTATCCGCTCTGTTTCGATCTTCTCCTTTCTCTTGCTGTCACTCACTTCCTATCCCTCAGTTCTCTCCCAGTTCTCTCTCTCTCTTCTCTCTTCTCTCTCTCTCTCTCTCTCTCTCTCTCTCTCTCTCTCTCTCTCTCTTGCTTGCCTGCTTCATCCCAATTTTTTATTTTTTTTTCTTATTAAGTATATCCATCTATTGGTGGGGAGCTGCACCTGCTGGAAACCGGGTCCAGCGTCCCTTACATTATAAAAATTTTAATAGTGGCAAAAGGAATGAGTTTCAATGACCCCTGTGCTGGAAACCGGGTCCAGTGTGTCTCATTGCTACAATCCTTGCTTTTTTTAAAAAGCTCATTACTTTTCCTACCACCTTAACTCGGAAAGTCCCCCATTCTCTCTGTTACAAGTGTTCCATCCCTCCTCCCGGAGGTGGGATTGCCTCTTCAGTCAGGATTCTGACCGCCTGATGAGAATGATAATCCTAGCTTCCCACCTCCTTACTATCCTTCCTCCCCTCCCCCAAACCACTCAAGATCCACCAATGCTAGTGTCGAGGGAGGGAAGGGATCAGCGAAGTACTCGGGTGCTCTTAGGGTGGCTCTTTGTTGGATGTCAATCCAGTTGCAAAAGGTGATCTGGTAATCTCGTTTGAACATTTCCTGCTCCCCTCCTTCTCCTGGCCATATTACATCCCCCAGTTTCTCTCCTGCCGCATCCCCTAGCCATTCCAGTTGAAACTTCCGAATTCACTGTTGTATATGTGTTTTTTTGTTTAAATTCTTTGAGTTTTGTTTTCGTCTTTTCCCATTGGCTTCTAATTTCTGTATGAACAAAGTGTTGTATTATTTCTGCTTGCTTACCCCTTCCTCAAAGTTCCTCACTCGTCTCACGAGCAGGTCCCTTCCATCGCTACTCTGAACAGATCAGCTCTGTGCTTTGGGCTACGAGCACAATAAATAAAATCAGAAAAAGGAAATACAATGTTCGCTCGCTCACTTTCTTCCTCACATGCTTCTTGTTCACCCTTTTCTTCCTCTCCTATGTCACATGCGCACTACAAGAGTTCCTCCCGTGGTGTAACTCTCTCTCTCTCTCTCTCTCTCTCTCTCTCTCTCTCTCTCTCTCTCTCTCTCTCTCTCTCTCTCTCTCTCTCTCTCTCCCCTCCAGCTGTCTTTGCCTGCCCTCTCTCACGCTCTTACTCACGCAGACCCACACACACACGCATAATCAGTCTCTCACTTACTCACTAGTGTCCTTTTCTCTCCCCTCTCCTTCTCTCCATCTCTACTTCTTCTCTCCCTCCTTTAGCGATCTCCTTGCTTCATCCATCGCAAGCATTTTCATCTCCGTGACTATTCAGCTTTGAACTTGGACTGCTTCGTGTGACACCCTCATCGTGTGCTTGCTAGCTCCTCGCTGCACTACGTTCAGTGTCACTCGTACGTGCACGACCTGAAGCTTAGCTCAGAGTTTGACATGCCTGTAACTACCTGGGCAGAGG